CACTTAACAACAGTGTTCTCCAGGTTCATCCATGTTATGCGGTGGCTTGCCGCTTCCTTGTTATTCTTCAGTGTAGCATAATATTCCATTGTGTGTATGTACCACAGTTTGTTTATCCATTCTCCAGTTGATGGGCACTTCGGCTGTCTCCATCTTTTTGCTATTGTAAATAATGTCAAGCCAATTTTTAAGTGTGAAAATTTAGTATCATTAGTTGCATTCACAATATTTTACGACCATCACTACTGCTTCCAAAATTTCACCCCAAATTGAAACTCTGTGCCCATTAATCAGTAGTTCCCCATTCTCTAACCCCTCCAGCCCTTGGTAAACTCTAATCTACTTTCAATCTCTATAAATCTGTCTATTCCACATGTTTCACATAAGTAAAATCATATAGCATTGCCCCTTTTGTATCTGACATTTTACTCAGCATCTTGTTTTCAGGGTCCATCCATGTTTTAACAAGTATCAAAGCTTCATTCTTTTGTGTTACAAATTTTTATATAGACATTTGCTTTCATTGATCTTGGGTAAATACCTAAGAGTAGAATTACTAGGTTACATAGTAGTGTTGTCGAGCTGATTTGATTCCCACTCATTGAGATCCCATGTGTAGAGCAGGACTGCTCCGTTGGGTTTTCATGGCTGTGACCTTTCAGTGCCAGATTGCCAGGCTCGTCTTTCAAGGTATCTCTGGGTGGGCTCAAACAGCCAACCTTTTGGCTAGCAGTGAAGTGCTTAGCCATTTGCACCACCCAGAGACTGAGAACTTTATTCATTCTATGTATATTTTGTGTATCTGTTCATATATTAGTGGCATAGTGTGTTACATGTTGGGCTTCCAACCTCAAGGTCAAGCAGTTTGAACCTCAGGAGAAGATGAGGCTGTCTGCTCCTATAAAGATTTACAGCCTTGGAAACCCTGCAGAGAAGTTCTCCTCTATCCTATAGAGTTGCCATGAGTTGGACTTGACTGGAAGGCTATGAGTTTTTAGTTTATTCATCTGTTGATGTACACCGAGCCTGTTTCCCCCTTTTGAGTTTTGTGACTAGTGGTGATTTCCCCCTTGTGACTACTTTTGAACATTGGTGTACAAGTATCTGTTTGAGCCCCTGTTTTCAATTCTTTTGGAGTAGAATTGCTGGGTCATACCGCAATTCTGGGAGCTCTGGTGCCACAGTGATTAAGCGCTTAGCTGCTAACTTAAAGATTGGCAGTTTGAACCCACCAGCCACTTGCAGGGAGAAAGATGTGGCAGTCTGCTTCTGTAAAAGATTTATAACCTTGGAACCCCATGAGGCAGTTCTTTTCTGTACTATAAGGTCATGATTAGTTGGAATCCACTGTACAGCAGCAAGACTTGGTTTTTGGTATAGCAATTCTATGTTTAAGGTTTATAGGAACTGACCAACTGTTTTCAACAGCAGCCATTAATATTGTAATTGTTACTATTCTTGTAAAACCTCTTTCCCTCTAAAGGCAGTTCCCTTCATGGCCTCCTATCACTACAGTAAGGTTAGATACACTGGCATGCTACCCACTGGAGACTCTTGCCATCTTCCCCTCCCCCCACTACCCCCTCCCACACAGGTGTTTGGTGACATGGACCAGGTGCGGATGACCTCGGAGGGCTCGGACTGCCGCTGCAAGTGCATCATGCGGCCACTGAGCAAGGACGCGTGCAGCCGGGTGCGCAGCGGCCGTGCGCGAGTCGAGGACTTCTACACGGTAGAGACAGTGAGCTCCGGCTCCGACTGCCGCTGCACTTGTACGGCCCCGCCCTCCTCACTCAACCCCTGTGAGAACGAGTGGAAGATGGAAAAGCTCAAGAAACAGGCACCTGAGCTCCTCAAGGTATCCTTTCCTGTGAGGGTGGGGGCAGGAACATCATTTGAGTGAAGGCTTTTCATGGGCCAGGTGCCAGGCTGTTTCACCAGTGAAAATTCCACATACTCTGAGGCAGGTGCTATTAATATCCCATTTTACAGGTGGGGAAACCGAGGCTTTATGAGTGGAAGCCATTTCTTACCCAAGATCATTCAACCTTTAAGTGATGGAAACAGGATTCCATAGCTAATGACTAGTTTGCCTCAGTCTATTCTCTTTGACACATGCCAGTGCCCTGTGTTTTACCTAAACCAAGTCATCCACCAGTACCTATCTATAGTATACATTTCTAATGAATTTAAAATTTTGTGGCATTTTATAGTTTTTAATGTAATTATAGGACTCCTGTTGTGTTGCTATAGAATAAGCACTGGAAAGGTTAGCGGTTCAAACCCACCAGCCACTCCTCGGAAACCTTATGCAGGGTTGCTATGAATTGGAATTGATTCCATGGCATTTAGCAACAACAACAATAATGTAATAACATGTTCCATGTTCAAGCACTACCTACATGCCAAATGCTGTGCTTAAGCCCCTTTAGACAACATTATTTCTCTAAACCCTTAAGCCATTCTGTGAAATATGGGATCATTGTCCTCATTTTATACATGAGAAAACTATGAGAAGGAGTTTGCCTAAACTCACATAATAGGCAGCCTCATATGTACACCATACTAATGTATGAATTTAAAAAACAAAAACAAAAAACACCAGTCTGGATAGGTAGAGTGTATAGGACCTTAGGTGGAATCTAAGCCCCATCCAGAATCTTCTGAGGTGGGAGATTCCCATTTGAAAGAATAAGCAGAGCAGTCTGGAACAACTAGAGAAACAGAAGATGCTTCTCATAAGAAAGACCAGCAGGAAAAATCCAAAACAAAAATGGCAGTCTGATTGGCTACTACAAGAACAAGCAAGTTGTTTGCCGGGGAGCCATCAAGGCAAGCAATCAAGTCCCTTCAGGACAAACTCCCCTCCAAGACTGAAACTCAAAGGGAACTCATGAGAGACATGTAAGCTTGCTGATGACCACGTTGGTCTGCTGGTGAGTGAAAGGCAGCAATGAAGAAATGGGCTGAGTTCAGCCACATTCCATAGACTTCTATTGACCTGAAGATGAGACAGAGAAGAGGAAGGGACAGTTGACATGAAGTGTGGTGAGACCTGGGGACTCCTGAGCCCATGGACAAGAACATAACCACAGAGGGCTAGAGCTAAGAGTGAAGCATCCAGCTGATATGAAGTTAGGGGAGATGCACAAGAACACCCAAATTTGTAGATAGCACCCATTCTATCTAGCTTTGATGGCTTGATGATCAGAACTTGACTAGAGGAAGATAAACAACAACAAAAAA